ACCCGGCTAATTTTTCTATTTTTAGTAGAGATGTGGTCTCGCTCTTGCTCAGGCTGGTCTCAAACTTCTGAGCTCAAGCGATCCTCCCGCCTTGGCCTCCCAGAATGCTAGGATTACAGGCGTGAGCCTGTGCCCAGCCTGTGCCCAGCCTTCTTTACTTTTTTAATGTGGTTTGCATTATATTTCTGTTGGACAGCACACTACCTAGCTCAAATTTCACTTCTTTTTCCATGAAAAGTTCTGATTTAACCGGTGGCTAAAAATAATTTCATTATCCCATAACCCTCTTACCTGCATCTCTCTTAAATCACATATTACTTTCTACCCTGACTTACAGTTATTAATGTCTATTTGAGTATTAGCTGTTAACGGCAGTATTTCTGCTAAATAAATAAGTGCCCTTTCACTAGACTGAACCAATACAAAAATGAGGGGAGGACGTTGGGTGGTAAGGGTAGTATGCATAGTTTGAAAACATTCAATATTATGACAAAACCTCTCTGTTTTCTTTTTTTTTTTAAGAGCCAAAGTATTGCTCTGTCACCCAAGCTGAAGTGCAGTGGCACGATCATAGCTCATGGCAGCCTCCAACTCCTGGGCTCAAGGGATCCTCCCGCCTTGGCCTCCCAACGCACTAGGATTACAGGCAGGAGCCACTGCGCCCAGTCTCACTGTTTTCATACTACAGACTACAGAAAGCTTGACAAAGTTTTCAGGGAAGTGAATGCAGCCATTTTCAACAGGGACAACATATCCCCTTAAGGGTATATCCAAATCTCTGGGAGTCGCCAGAGTTCCACGGAGTGGAGGGAGGAGAAGTGAATGAATAGCCTTTGGTGCTGAAGCTCCTCAAGGCAGGGTTTGACTTTAGCCCTCCCAGGAGAGGCAGCATTAGGAGGAGATGCTCCTTAGTATATAATCCCCATCCCTGGGCGTTGGAGGAGGAGGGGTGAGGGGGTTGAGGGTTTTTAGTTTCAACCTACATTTTTTTCAGCTCCTTAGCCACATTCAACTTCTGCATGGTCTAATTTTATTCTTGAGGACACCTGGACCAGAGGCTTGGGGGCAGGAGCAGAACCCTAATGGTTCCTTTCCCATTTTATACATCTACAGCTGTTCTTGCTCCAAGCCAAAGCCACCTCCTACAGACTCATGTGTCCATGAAAGCACCCCCTTTCACTCCGGGGTTTCATAAAGTGTCTTAGTGCAAATTTTCTCAGTTCCCAGGTTACCAGGAAAGAGCCTGTGCTGGAGATTGACAACCTCTTGAGACAAATCCCCTAAGCCACTTTCTCTGTGTGGAATGCTCCCTTCTCTCTGCCACCACCCTCTTTTTCCAGCCACACTGGCCTCCCCAAGGAGCTTTGCCTGCACCTTTGAGCCAGAGCCCTTTGGGCTGCCCTCACTGCTCCACTTGGTTTTTTCCTCCTTAGCTTTTCCTTTATTCTGCAAAACCACATTCCACTCAACTCATGACTTATCCTACACAGCTTTTCCCAAAGCACAGCAACTCTTGATCCACTGCATCCCACCCTGACCCAGATTTCTGCTCCATAGGAACCAGGTACAGAGCCAAAGGGGAGGGGGCAACAGAATGGTGAATTGGTGTGACAGCCCTCCACCACCACCCTGCTCTTCCTGGTGACAGTCTTATTCCCAGTGCTCTGTTTCAGGGGAAGAACCATTTTCTTCAAAATCTGGATTCGAGAGGCTTCAGACTCAGAGACACAGGACACTGTGGAAGGCAGGGATGAGATCTGGGTTTAAAATAGGAGCTATCGGCTGGGTGCAGTGGCTCACACCTGTAATCCTAGCACTCTGGGAGGCCGAGGCGGGAGGATCGCTCGAGGTCAGGAGTTCAAGACCAGCTTGAGCAAGAGCGAGACCCCGTCTCTACTAAAAATAAAGAAATTAGCTGGACAACTAAAAATATATAGAAAAAATTAACTGGGCATAGTGGCACATGCCTGTAGTCCCAGCTACTCAGGAGACTGAAGCAGTAAGATTGCTTGAGCCCAGGAGTTTGAGGTTGCTGTGAGCTAGGCTGACCCCACGGAACTCGAGCATGGGCAACAGAGCGAGACTCTGTCTCAAAAAAACTAAAAAATAAAAGTAAAATAGGAGCTATAAGTGAATGCTTGGAAAATTCATGATGCGACCCACCAGCATCCATTGCCCTCTGCCTAGAAAGAACACTGGAAGTCAGGGATGTTCCTCCTGCTCAAGCGGATGGAAAATCATTCTTGGACGAACTGTAAGTCCCCAGAGAAAACACCTTCAGACATTTTCCCAAAGGAAAAATCAACTTTCTGCTGCTTTATCACGTCCTGAAGCCCGCTACTCAGCAAGCTCTGTCCCTGCTCACAGGATGGCCAGCCAATTTGAAGACCTTTATAATAGGTAAATATGGACACACCTTTCAGGACAGCTTTCAACATGAGAGGCTGAAACTAGCATTATCTCTAGAAGAGACACCTGCAGGGATAAGAGGAAAAATATTTGGAAAAAGAATATCTGGGATGGCCGGGCGCGGTGGCTCATGCCTGTAATCCTAGCTCTCCGGGAGGCCGAGGCGGGTGGATTGTTTGAGCTCAGGAGTTCGAAACCAGCCTGAGCAAGAGCGAGACCCCGTCTCTACTAAAATTAGAAAGAAATTAATTGGACAACTAAAAATATATAGAAAAAATTAGCCAGGCATGGTGGCACATGCCTGTAGTCCCAGCTACTCGGGAGGCTGAGGCAGGAGGATTGCTTGAGCCCAGGAGTTTGAGGTTGCTGTGAGCTAGGATGATGCCACGGCACTCTAGCCCGGGCAACACAGTGAGACTCTGTCTCAAAAAAAAAAAAAAAAAAGAATATCGGGGAGGGCATAGATTTTTAAGTTTATCCAAAGGAACACACGTTTCAAAAGACAAAAGATATTGCCCAAAGCATCATGCTGTAGTGTTCTCAGAGTGCCCAGCAGCACTTAACTCAGCACTTAACTGAGGTGTGCTCTGAGCCATGAGTGGCGGAGAATAAAACAGAGATAAATAAAACATATTCCTTACCTTCTGCAAGCTCACAGTCTGGGGGAGAGATGACGTAATTGTTTATGCATTTGGTGTTTATATCCCACTATGTTCTAAAAAGGGATTAGAATGGCTCACACTTAATCAGAAATAATTTGAATACAAGGAAGATGGTGGCAAATGCACAAAAAAGGAAAATGAAGAGTAGAGATTTATAGATTTCATCCTAGTCTCAAAACTGGAAGAGTTTAAGGCAGAGATTGGATAGGTGGGACTTGCGGGATAAATGTGGGGTGGGGAGAAGGGAATGGAGTCATTCCATCTAGCCTCATTCCCTGCTGCTCTATATATACCCAAGTGTGACTCACTATCCAGCTGGAAGTAGAAAATGGTTTCACGGAAAGAGCACTGAAATATTTGGGGTTGGGTGGACCAGAGTTCAAACTACTCCAACTCGCTGAGCCTCAGTTTCCTCGTATGAAAAATGAGAATACTCAACTCGCAGGACTAATGTGAAGAACACAGAGCTGGTGCAAAAATCCTTTGCAAACTAAGAGTGCAGATGACTTTCAATCCCTCCCACAGGCCCGAATGAATGCAGAATGGAGGAAAGAAGTAAGTGAATGGCCCCAAAGAACAAGTTGTTCTTCCTACAGGTGACGGTAGCCTTCAGCCCCAAAGACATGGACTCTGGTCACCTTTCCCTTCCCCAGGTTAAAAGACCTCAGTTCCTTTCATGCCCAATGGGCCTACCCTGTATTGCTGAACCTCTTCGTCTCGTTTTTGCCTCACAAGTGCGATCTGGTCCTCCAGGTTCCTGTTTTGCAGTTGAAGCTGCCGGGCCTCTGCTTGCAAGGGTCTCAGAGCCTCCTTCATCTCCTGGACCTCCGCCTGGGTTTTCTGCAGAGCTTTGGTCCCAGCTTCTTTCCTTTCTAGGAGTCGCAGTAGCTGAGGCTCATACTCCTCCTCCAGCCCCTGGCGGCTCTCTGCCATGAGGTTTTCAAACTGGGCAGAGAGTCGCCGGCTTTCCTGGAGAAAGTGCCCATCGCTCTGACTTGGGGGCGCTTCTAGTTGTCGCCGCAGCTGGTCCTTCTGCTTCTGATAGGCCTCCCGCAGCTGGGCCAGCTCCTCCGAGAGCTGCGCTGCCCGCGTAGTCAGCACTTCCCGGAATTCGGCGAACTGAGCCACGTCCTGCTGGCGGCACTCCAGCTGGTATTGGTAGGCCACACACTCCTTCGTCACCTTGAACAGCTTCTGCTTGACCAGCCGGATCTCCTCCCTCAGCCCGTCCCGCTCCAGCTCTGCCTGGGCATGCAGCTTGTAGGCAGCCAGGATGTCCTGATGGACCCGTTGCACCTCCTGCAGGGCCGGTTCCCGGAGCAACACGAGCTCGTGGATGAGCTGATCCCTCTCCTCTTCCAGCTGGGCCACGGCTTGGACACACTGCTGGAATCGCCCCTCCAGCAATTCCAGGTCCTCTATGCTCAGGTTCTCCTCCGTGCTGGGGCTCGGCTCGGCTCTGAGGCTCTCCTCAGGGTTAGGCTTCTCCTCCCTTGTGACCATCTTTCCCCCATAAACAGTCTGCTCTGGGCTCGTGGGCTTTCCCAGCTCCACGGGCTCCTCCACAAACTGTACCTCTTCTGGCTCCACAGTTCCCTCCACGTACAGCGTCTCCTCTGCGTTCCCGGGCCCCTCCGCGTACACCGTCTCATCACCTGGCTGCCTGGTCTCCTCGATGTACAGCGTCTCCTCTGGCTTCTCAGTCTCTTCCACACAGAGTGCCTCGTCAAAGTCACCTGTGTCATCCAGGTAGAGAATGTCTTCTAGGTTCAAGGTCCCCTCCAAAGATAGAGTAACTTCTGGGTCCAAGGTCTCTGCCTCGCTCAGGGATTCAAAGTTCTCTTCAAGAGGAGAATTAGCCTCTGCTCTTGTTTCCCTGCAAGAGAAATGATGGAAAGTGAAAGGACAGGCACAATCCCAGGATGGCTGGTGATTGGTGCCAGTAGCCCCAGGCCGATATTGCATGAGGATCTCAGATCTCAGCGGTCACTTATCTGCTCCCTCCCCTCTGTGGATCTGACCCCTCCGCACACACACACAGTCCACTGTGCAGCTCCCCCGATGACATCCTCACACCACTCTCTAGTCTCTGCTACCTTGAAGGACAGGAAAGGCACTGACGCACCACTGTTTGTTTCACAATCATAATAACTTTCTAATGTTGAGGTAAAACCTTCTTCCCTGCAATCTTTATCGCTGGATTCTAGACAATTATGACTTCTTTTCCCTGTAAGTTCTTTAAACGCTTAAAGATAACTAACTTATCTTTCGATTATTCCATACATGCCAAGGTTTCCAGTACCCTCCTAATTTGGTCACTTCTGACCAGGCCCCGGATTCTGTCTTGGGGAATGGGCATTGAAAGTCGCCCCCGAGGTGTGCTCTGAGCGGTGAAGTCTCCGGACACTATGCTGCTGTTACGGCAGCCAAGATTCCCTTAGCATATAGGGCAGCTCCAGCATATTCTCGACAAGTGCTGAGTTTGACTAAAATCCGTAAGACTTTTTCACACCAAATGCTTTTAAGCCACATCACTTGTTCCTGTAATCCTTCATCTTGTTAGAATTGGCCCATCCTTCTAGTCTGTCAAAGGCTCTTGAATTCAGATTCTGTCATTCCAACAAGTGAGCTCCCTGACCAAGCTGCCTATGGCCTGCCATTTAATCAGTTCCTGTTGGGGAAGCCTCTCCTGCTTCTTTGGCCTTCAGATGGCCTTGATCTTTCCTGTTTCAAAGGTACCTTACCTACCTTGGATCTCTGAGCAACTTTTTGAAAATATAAAATACCATGCAAATAATAAATTAAACCTACTAAGGGGAGGGCTTACTATGTGCCAGGCCCTATTCTAGATGCTTTATATGTACCAACTCATGTAATCCTCACAACAATTCTATGAGGTAGTTACATATATTATCCCCATTTTGTAGATCAGGAAACTGAGATTAAAAGAGATTATCTTACGCAAGGAAACTCAGAGAGTGTGTACCAGTTATAAAACAGACTGAATTTGAAGCTTTCGAGAAGCTTCTTTTGTTGTTGAGATATAAAGTATAAATTAAAAGCCACAAGTATCAAAGCATTTGATTTATCAGTATCAAAAAGGTTTTAAGCTCTTTTTTAGGGGATGGCCAGGGTACAGGATCCCACAAGGTCACCCAGGCTAGAGTGCAGTGGTGTTATCACAGCTCACTGAAACCTCACACTCCTGGGCTCAAGTGATCCTCCTGCTTCAGCCTCCCAAGTTGCTGGGACTACAGGCACGCACTACCACGCCCAGCTAATTTTTCTTATTTTTAGTAGAGACGGGGTCTCACTTTTGCTCAGGCTGGTCTCGAACTCCTGACCTCAAGCGATCCTCCCACATCGCCTCCCAGAGTGCTAGGATTACAGGCGTGAGCCACCATGCCTAGCTTTAAAGCTCCATCTTAACTCAATGTTCCCGAGAAAGATTATTTTTATTCTAAATCATTATGTATTCTGTCCTCCTGTCTAACACCCCATGAATCCCTAGTTTCCCTTTCTGCGTCTCAGAGCAGCCCTCTGGACACCACTGGGCTTCAGACATGACTGCCTTCATTCAAGCCAGCACCTGCACCAAAACTTTAAGCTCGAGGACAACCTCAGCAATCACCTGGTTCATTCACATCACTTTACCAGAGAGGAAATCATTTTTAGATATCTTCACCTGATGTCACTTGGCACCTCAAACTCAACTGCCCCCAAATTATTGTTCTCCCCCATCTTGCTGTGCCTGTATTCTCCAGCTCAGAGAAACACATCTCCATTCTCCATGTGGACTAGGCAAGACTGATTGATTGACTGATTGATTGACAGAGTCTCGCTCTGTTGCCCAGGCTGGAGTACAGTGGTGTGATCATAGCTCATTGTAACCTCGAACTCCTGGGCTCAAGCAATCCTCCTGCCTCAGCCTCCCGAGTACCTGGGACTACATGTGTGCACCACCATGCCTGGACAATTTTTTTTTTTTTTAGAAATGGGGTCTCGAGGTCAGGCGAGGTGGCTCACACCTGTAATCCTAGCACCCTGGGAGGCCGAGGTGGGATACCCCATTTCTTATCTTTTTTTTTTTTTTGAGACAGAGTCTCACTCTGTTGCCTGGGCTAGAGTGCCATAGCATCATCATATCTCACAGCAACCTCAAACTCCTGGGTTCAACCCATACTCTTGCTTCAGCCTCCTGAGTAGCTGGGACTACAGGTGCACACCACTACGCCTGGCTAATTTTTTCTATTTTTAGCAGAGACCAGGTCTCACTCTTGATCAGGCTATTCTTGAACTCCTGACCTCAAGCGATCCTCCCGACTCGGCCTTCCAGAGTGCTAGGATTACAGGCATGAGCCACCGCGCCCGACCATCACCCCAATCTATTCTCCACAATGCCACATTTAGCTTGCTACAACATAAAGGGAGCGATGTTGTTCCACTTCACCCGTAAATAGCCAAACTGCTAAGCATGGTTTCAAGGTCCTAAAGATGTGGCACCAACATACCTTTTTTAGTCTCATCTCACATTACTCCTGCAAGCCACCCAATGCTTGACAACCCAGAGCATTTGTTAACTTTTTATACCTCCTACTCTCAGCCCACAATGTGCAGCTGAGAAATGCAACTTCTTGAACACCACCTGACTAGAGAACAGCCCTGTTCCACCTGGGAAGGTAGAGCTCCTAGTGCCAGGAAGGATGCATCTGCTCAGCCAGCCAGACCCGCTCTGACACTCAACAGAGTCCCTGCTTCCCCAGCGGACGGCCCTCTGTCATGCTCCTGCCGAACCTCCCACCTTGGAATGACTTCACCGTGTTCAAGGCACTATTCTAAGCATTTTACATGAATACTCATTTATAGACTGCTTGTCTATTATCCCCATTTTATAGGGCAGGAAGCCAAAGCACACAGTAAAGAACCACTCGAGGTTCCACACCTCATGGAAGTGGTGGAGCCCGGAGAAGGCCGCCAACAGTGTTTACCATTCTCCTCCTAGGGCACGCGTGAGGTCTCGAAGCGGTAACTACAGCACAGAAAATAGAGCTCGGCACATAGCCATCAAGATATACTTCCATCTATTGACCTAACACATTTCTACTCATCCTTCAAGCCCTGCTCAAACTCCATCTCCTCTGTGAAGAGTTTCCCAGAACAACTCCACTGCCCTTCTCTGGGCACTCTGTGTGCAGCACGTCTTCACACTTGGCGCCCTGCTTCACAGAAGCGCGTGTGTCTGTCTCCCCGAGAGTGAATTTCCTGAGGACAAGTAGAGCTGTCATTCCGCTCTGTATCCGAGGGCGGGGCTCTGTAAGAAAGGCAGAGACCCACTGAGCTCCAAGGAGGAAACTTGCCCAGGGTTGAGTGGCAAAGCTCAAAGTGGAAGCCAGGCCTCCTGACTTCCAGGCAGTGCTGTTGCCACACACCATGTTGCCTGTCACCCTGCCCACAGTGCCAGGCCTCTGCTGGATGCTGCCCTCACACAGCTGCCTCTCCAAGAGAGAAGAGGGAAGGAGGCAGATCAGGGGAAGCCAAGGGGAGAGACAGTGAAGGCGTGTCAGGAGGTGTGTATTTGCACCTCCAAATCTTGGGACACTGGGAAGTCCCAGGGCCACAGTCTGACCTGGGGCAGAAATACTCCCCCCTCACCCCAAACCCCTCAGCCACAGGTCCCTTCCCCCTAACCTGTGCTAAGCCAACAGTGTGGATAGATGGCGAGGGCCTCTGCACCACTGCCCTGCCCGGCCAGGGCCCTCCTGCTCGGCTGGGACAGTGGATCTTTCCCCTACCCCCATCCCAGACCACACAGCAGAGAACAAGCTGCTTGAGCAGACTCTTAACTTCAAGCTGGCAGATGCCCAACCTTGCACCAAGTGGCTTCCACACAGCGAATTCAGCAACGGCAGGCCTCCGTCTCCAGCTGACATTTGGAGCAAGCAATGAAGGAAAACAAGCAGTGTATCTGGCCACTAAGGGCCTAATGGCATTTGAGTGGTTGATGCCCTCTAGCCTGAAAGGGTTAATTCTCACACAGCGCGCAGTAGGGGAAGGGATATTATGAACAGCCACAGACAAAAGGAGGTGCCAGGACCCCTGCTTGGACTCCCCCTCTCCCTTCACTAGGTGGCTCCGCCCCGTGCCCCACCCGGCTGGACCACCACCCTCCAGCCGGTCGAAAGGTGCCTTCGGGTTGGGGAAGGGAACCCGTCCAGCACCCCCTCCCAAAAGGGGCGGCGACGCGGGCCCCGGACAGTCCTACCTCGCGGCCTGGGCGGTGCTGTCCCCGCCTCGCCGGGGCTCGGGGCTAGCCATGGCTGCGCGACCCCGGGCTCGGCCGCTGCGTTATTAATAGCCGGCCCCGCGGGCCGCTCGCTCCGGCGCCCGCGCCCGCCGCACTGCCAGCTGCAGGCGACACCGGATCCCGGCCGGCCCAGGGCCGGGCGCGCCCACTTGGCCCGGGCTCCCGCCGCGGGAGGAGGGAGCGGCCGCGCGGCCCTGGGGGCGGGGAGATGCCGCCCCTCCCAGGACCGGCCAGGGGTAGGGGTGGGGGTGAAGGAGAGGTAGGGGTAGGGGTGGAGGTGGGAGGCGGCTTAGCGGCCTTTCCAAAACCAGCTAGCCCAAGATCTTCCCGAACCTTCCTTTCCTCCGCCCTTCCGTTCCCGGGATCCCGCTTGCAGGGGAAAGGGGAAAAGGGCGTTCTGTAGCCCCAAGAGAGCACAGCACGTCCCAGTCCAGCCGTCGGGGGAGGGGGGCGGGGCGCTCAGAGGGACCCAGCACCCCTCGCCCGCAAGTGTTTGGGAGTGTCCGCCACAGCTCGGCGCCCTCCGACCCCCACCTGCGCGGCGGGGGGGACAACGGCCACCCTCTGGGCGCTCCCAGCGCTGTGCCCCGCAGCTGTCGTGAAGGGGTGGGGCAGGGCGCGGCTTAATGGCCACACCCCCAGTGTTTGGGGACAGCCTAGGGCCCAGGGGCTCGTGGCTAGGGTTAGGGAAGGACAATGGGAGGACTGCAGAGGGGTTTATACCTGTAAGATTGAGTCCATATTTAACTTTCTGCCCCACCCTTCCAGGTTTCCTGGGGTCTCTCCCTGGCTCCACCTGTCACCCCCACTCAGCCTGGCTTCTGTCAACTTCAAAGCGTACCCCCTCCCCCAAGTCCTCAGCCCACCAGTGTCAGGGTCAGACTTGAACACTGAAGTCTTTCTCCCCAAGTGAGGACAGGCTGCTGGGCCTCTTCCCAGACCTGGGCCGCAGACATTCCCTCCTCTGATTCCTTTTTTCCACTTAGCCCCTCTGTCTGGGGAGGTCTTTGACTCAATCGCAGAAGAATGCCGTGCACTGTAACAAGCCCCAGAGCCTGGACCTTCAGTTTAATCTGAGAGGCCTTGAGCTGGGGGTGGGGGTGGGGCAATCATGCAATGGTGTTGAGTGTGTGCGGGCTTGTGTGCTGTGATCAGTGCGCTCGCGGCCGGCAGTAGGAACATATGATCATGGTTTGGGTGTGGTGCGTGGGGAGGAGATTGTTGGTGTTGCGTGCCCATGTCTGTGTGTGGGCATGTGGATGTGCGATTGTATGATCTGAGGATCAATGGTGTGTGGTGACTGTTCCCATTGTGGAGTGTGTCTGTGTGTCGCAGACACACTCCACAGGCGCCGGCTCCTGCGACTGTGTTTGTGGGACATGTGTATGGTCCTGTGTGTGATCGTGTGCCTGTGTTTGACTGGGGGCTGAGTATTCATTCATCCATGTATGTGAGTGTGCCGCCTGTGGTTGTATATTTATATCTCTCTGTCTCATGCAAGGGGGCGGAAGATTTAACACCCTGGGCAGCCAAATACACCCTTGTAAGGTATGCATGAGGAAAAAGTCAGGTTTTGGAGGCTGCTGGTCATTTTCTGACTTACCCCTGAAATATTCCAGGGGAGGAGGTTGGCAAAGCCTCAGCCACGGGTCCTTTGACATCTGCTGCCAGTCGGAGGGGAGCTAAGGGAGCAAGGGCAAGGCCGCCAGCAGCTCTGTTTGCTGTGGGTGCTAAGCAACAGGCAGCAAGGGTGGCATTCAGAAGGGCTGTCCTTTCCCTCCAACCCTCAGTCCAAGAGCTGGCCCCGGGCAGTCCCCTGAGACTGAATTTCTTAACCCTTCCTAGCCTCCCATAAGCCCTTCTTTAGGCCGAAACACTGAATCCCCCAGGGTCCCAGAAACTTCCCCACCTCCGGGATTTTGTTTTGACTGTTCCTTCTGCCTAGAACACCCCTGCCAGCTCTTCCCATCCCAGAGTCTTCTATCCTTTAGATCTTGGCTCACAAGTCATCTCCTCAGAGAGGCCTTCCCCGATGCCGCCCGTGACGTCCACTCATTATTGTTTATCTGGTTGCCCTGTTTATTTCTGTTAGCACTTATCACGATCTGCAACAATACCGTTCATTTTCAGTTCTTTCCTTCTCTGCTTCCCCGACTAGAGTGGAAGCCCCACCAAGGCAGAGACTTTGTGTGTCTTGTTTACTGCTGTATCCCCAGGGCCCAACACAGGGCCTGGCACAGAGGACCTAAAAAAAAATTGTTGAATGAATGAAGGAAAGAAAGATGGTCTTACTCAGGCCAATGCAGGCAACATTTGATGCCTGCTGTGTGCCAGGCCTGGGCCACCCACCACCAAGTAGCATGTGCCCAGATTGCACATACCAAGACAGAGGGAGGTAAGTGAGGTCAAAGGATTCAGCTCACTTGGCAAACATTGGCACTTGGTCTGTGCTGGGCCCTGTATCAGAGCAAATGGCCTTATTTGGCCCAGGCCTGCAAGAAGCTCTCAGTGTAGAGGAAGCTAGAATTGTCTCCTGGGGAGAAAAACCTATGAGAGAATAATGCCAAATCACTGGGCTGAGTGATGTGATAAGCATTGAGAACCCAGGAAAGCAGGGAGGGATGGGAGAGATTAACTCCAGGACTGGGGATGGCCCCGTGGACAAAGTAACGTGGGCTAGGCAGGAGGAGAAAGGGTGTTTTGGAGTCAGGCATAGACTGTGCTTTGAAAGACAAACACCACCATTCTGTCTCTGAGCCCCTCCACAAAGCCAAATCCAGAAGAGGAGAGAAACCCCTGGGCTGGCTACCCACTGCCTAGCCTTCATTCTCAGCACTTCTCTGCCCCTGTGTTCCTGGGTCCCCTTACCTTCTGGCCTCAGGTGCGGTTTGACCAATAGGAGACACTGGTAGGAGGTTAGGGAAGGAAGGAGAGTGAGATCAGGATATTTTTTTATGCCTCTCATCCGCCAGTGATTTTGGCACATACTATGTTCCTCTCCTGGAAGCCACAGTTCCCGTTGAGTGGCCTGCACCTGTGGATACAGCTCTGGCCAGGTTCATTAACAAGCTCCCACCCCTTGCCCCTTCAGGCCCAGGGGTCTTGCCCCCTTCACTCCATCCCACTATGGCAAGCCCCAGGGGCTGCACCATTCCTGCCCACACTTCTGTGAATATTCCCAGTAAACCCTCTCTGGCAAACACCTTGCCCCTGTTTTCTACTGAGACTCCAAGGTATGGACTAAACCCAGGAAGGCTGGGCCCTGGCCAGAAAATTTGGGGAGGCTCTCTTTCTAAATCCCCACCAAAAAACAGAATCAGAAAAACTGTGAACAGGTTCCACTCTGGGTGAAGAGTGACCTCCCAGCCACCAGTCCGACACAGTCCCCACTTGAGGGGTCCCTCTTAGCCCACTTTAGTCTTAGATCTGTAGGTACCGCCGTGGCTGGGAGAATGGGGCAGGGAGTGGGCTGTGAGTCAGTAGACATGCATGTGGGAAGAAGGGGTGATGAGCCGGGAAGCGGAGAGGCGCCGGGGGCAGCAGGGGAGGCAGCCTTGGCGGTAGTCTCCACCATACCCTACAGCAGGTCCCATATGACCCTGGGAAGCCAACCTCCTGAACCTCAGCTCCCTGTCAGCGAAATGGGCAGCTGATCTCTCTTCACAGGATTGTTGTGGGAAGCAGTCAAACGTGAGGCCAAGCACATGAGCTCGTGGACATGAAGTTGCTCTGCAAGCTGAGAGTAGCACATTCCACATTATTACTGATGCAGGTGGAGGCCATACTGCTCAGTTTCTTTGTGCCAAGAGCTCCAGCAAACCATCTAGAGGGGGAGAAGGGTGGTACAGAGACGCCCTGGCAGGGCCCTCAAACCCACCGTTTCTAGAGAGCCAGGGTACGAGTCCAAGCCAACAGGCCAGGGCCTGAAACCTACCTCTGCACTTGCTACGTGACTTAAGAAAAGTCACTCAGCCTCTCGGAGACTGTTTTCTTCTCTGTGAAACTGGATAACACTTTTGACCTCACAGGTTTGCTGTGAGGATGAACTAAGAACAAGAAAATAATTTAACCAAGTGCCTAAGAAATATTAACTATTATTATTTTCAAAACTCCCCTTTCTCTGAACTCTTTCTCTCTCTGAAGCTGCAAACAGGGACGGACTGACTTCAGCATGTCTCTTCATTCATTCAGCGTTTATTAAGCCAGACAATGTGCTAAATCCTAGGGACACAAAGACAAGTTAAGTCATTAAAGCAAGAACAATATCTGAATTCCTTCATGGCTCTATCCCCGGCCCCTAGGTGTTCAGTAAACAGTGGCTGAATGAGTAAATATTAGCTATTTCCTTGAGTCCCTCCTACATGCCAGAGGGAAAGCTGGGCGTTTTATCTGCATGATCACAGTAAATTCTCAGAACAGCCCTGTCCCATAGGGCCTGTAATAAAGCTCATTCACTGATGGGAAAACTGAGGCTTAGAGAGGTTAAGTAACCTAGTTGACCAAAGTCACACAGGCAGGAAATGGTGGTACCCAAGATTCAGTACACTGTCTCCAGTAATGAATGGCTACAGACTTGTTTTGTGTCGCTGGGCAAATGACTTAATTTCCCTGGACCTCAGGGAAATGAGGTTAGGTGGGCATTAAATGAGAAGATGTGGAGGAAATGCCCCAGCACCTTGCCCGGTGTACAAGTGGCACTTGCTGAATGCTATTCTCTTCATTTTGTCCTTTCTCCTTGCCCCCCGGGACCGCTGTCTGGGGCCATCCGCCTGCCGCATGCTGACCACCGCCTGCCGCATGCTGACCACCGGGACCGGTGTTTTAGGTCGCCACGTTCAGGTCGTCCCGCCCCAGGTCAGGCCGTCTGGCAATGCCGAGCACTGCCTCCAGGGGGCGGCGCCGCGCCGACCCCGCGCCCCGGGGGCTGTCGTTTCCGCCGCGGCCGCGCGGGGCCGCCCAGGCCCGGAGTTTTCCTGACGACAGCGCGCGGACAGCGGGGAGGCCAGAGCGCGAGCTGAATCAAGGATGTTCTTTGGCATCACAGTGATAATTAACAATAAACAGCAGTAATAGCAATAGCACCAGATCCACCGTAGCCAGCTGTTACCGATT